TATATACTTATCATGTTTGTCTGCATGACTATTTATTTCCTTATATGTAATCTGTATTTTGTACACTAGATGGCACCCTAGACAAAGAATTGATCAACACTTGTATACAAGACCATTCTCTGTTAGACCTGAACAAATGAGTTTTTAACTGTCTACATACAGTGCATGTGTACATTCAGCTTTTGGTGTAGATCTTATAACTGAGTGTACACTGGAGGGATGGGAACACTCTATGTAAAAATGTTACTTCTGTTCACTAACCTTACTGAAACCAAGATAGGAGCACCGATTGTATACCTTTTGGTATATATGTAGAAAAGCAGGGTTATTTACAAAAGGGCAGGCAGAAGAACACTGGCATTAGTGTTGCTACATAATAAAAGACAGTTTGAGACTTTTGGCACATCACATAAATGAAAAACACAGAGTTATTCACAAAAGGGTGAAGAGTTTGGAGAAGGCCGGAGAAGTGAACAATCTAGGACAAAATAGCTGATTTGGAAAAATTCTCCAATTCAGGTCACTTTCCAGTTCAGTTATGTTGTCCTGGATTTTTCACTTCTCCTGCCTTCTCCAAATCCTTTACCCTTTTGTGAATAACCCAGTGGGTGTTTTTTTTATTTATATGATGTGCCAAAAGTCTCTTTTATTATGTAGCAACACTAATGCCTGGGCAGTGGTAAAGAAGTGTATCCAGTAGAGTTAGTTGCAGGTACAAAGACCTTTGCTGCTAGTCAGATTGTGGGTTTAGACTGCGTGTGGCTCTATGGAAACAGAGAGGCACAGAAATATACTGTCTAAAATCAAGCCCTTTGGCTCATTGCAGTTTTAATTAAAGTGTATGTCAAGTGTATGTATTTTTTTTTTTTCTCAAAAGGATTAGAACCCCTGATGTTTTTTTATTGCTGCCCGGTGCTCTGTTACAGGGATTATGCGTCTCCTGTCATGGAGACTACAGTATTATCAGACAGGACTGTGATAATCTGCAACAGCGGCACAGACACTCTACTAAAGAGAATCATTTTTATTTCTGCCTGTGTTGTTGTTGGAGAGTTCCCTTCATTTCCTGTCAGTCGGACAGGAATGAAGCATAATCTCTCTAAGGGCCCAAGATTGCAGAAAAAACCCAACAGGGGTTCTAATCCTGCCTTACTCTGTCAAGAGCTAAGAAAAAAAGATTTGGGCTTAACATAAATAATACATAATATTAATTCAAATGCATAATAACACATAATAATAACAAATCCCCATAATGCACATTTATTTAGACGTTCAATGTCCTTTAGTATTGTCACTGTTTTGAGCCGTCTTAAGGTGTTTTCTGTACTTCTTTTCAGCTACCACTAAATGTATTTAATAATTACTTCAGTCTGGGGTTTGATGCACATGTGACCTTGGAATTTCACGAGTCCAGAGGTGAGTGGAACTTTGATTTTTACAAACTACCTCTGTGTACAAGGAACTGTGTCTGTAATCTGTTGCCTTCCCCCAGTTGCTGGAGCGATGCCACCAGAAGAAGAGTTACCATTTCTCTGTGAATTCCCTTTTTAACACAAGGTTAAAAAAATCATAGTAAGATGATTCATTGCAAGTCCAGGGGGATGCTAATAAAATCTGTGCAGGCTAAAAACAAGACAATCTGCATGTATTGAAGCAGACCATTACACTCAAAAAACAAATTCTTCTAATGCATCCCTCTATGTATGATGATTAATAATAACATAGACATGTCAGGTGTAAAATGCTGTGATTGTGAAATACTTACACTTGCAGAAATGACTTCCGTTTGCCAAAGCAATCCACACTGGGATTGCCTTGTCATTAGCAGAGCATTGCTGGGAAATCTCATCTGTAATCTCATGAGATCTCAGGGAAAAGTATTTTTCTCCCCTGAGATGGTGTGCATGGTCACATGTCCTAGTCACATGTCTAGTCACCTGTGCCAGAAATCCAGGAAGTAATAGGAGAGTTAGTGATCTACCCTGGGGACTGGGGAAGAAAAGAGAAATAAGGTATGTAAAGAATACAAAGCCGGCAATTATCTAGAAGTATGTGTTTGTAGATTGTCATTACTAAACATTTCTAAAGGTGTGTTTGCTGTTATTTTACCAATATGGATAAAGGTCCGCTTTAAGCTTTTTTCCTTTCCAAAATGTTTTGTTTTATTCTGAACCTTTATAACACACAATCTCATACTTTGTTTTTATGGCACAGTATAGATTAATGTGCATGATGACTTGTATTGAAATAAACACACTTCTCAACACTATCCTATACAAATATAGAAATATTTAATAGGTCTTATTTATTGGGTCACAGAAATTAAACTATTCTCTGCAACTCCGATCATAAAGCTGTCTTATTAATTATAAAGCTGTCTTATTAATTATAAAGATGGCTAATTAATTATAAAGATGGCTTATCTAAATAAAAATGGTATGACTAACTCAGTAAAAAACAAACTTTAGGTTTGCTTTTCTGAAAAAGCGGACCTCGTAGTAACTTTTTAAAGTGTATGTGAACCTGAAATAAAAAAGTTGAGGACTACTTTCCTTTGCCACTCTGTATGCTCAAAGCAATCTCTACATTGTGTATGAGATCCAGAAAATCTATAAAATAACTGACCCCTTAGCAAAGAAGCCTTCCTGTAGGCACGGAAGCACATCAATCCTAGTTTGTATCTCTTCTTCTGAATTGGGAGCTACGGGATGCTGTTCCTGTAGTCTGGAAGTCAGAATACAGCTGCCATGCCCCTCTTTCAACTCTTCACAGTTTGAGTTGCAGCAGTTCCTAGTTGGTGAGGACATTCTACTTTCACCACCCCCACCCCCTGAGCTGCAAGGAAATGAGGGGAACCAAGCATTCAAGTGACTGCAGATAAAAGGACAAAAAAAGGTATCTGCAGCATTATTGGATGGCTGTAAATAGTGTGTTGTACTTAGTGATAGTACCAGATTTGTTTATTTTCCTTAAATTTACATATACTTTAAGTCTACACTAATAAATTCCTGATGTATCAAAATATACAGAAACCATGTCATTTTTCAAAAAGGCTTCACCTTTTATTATTAAGAAAGCCATCAATGGGCATGTCCAGTGACTTTCACTAGGCTGAGATGATGACTCCATTCTTCTGGAGATGAAAGCAGATGAAGGCATTGTCAGGGGAGTACTCTGATCTCTGTGAGAGGTAATAAATAACTGGAAATGTTACAATGACACATGACTCTAAGTCTTGGGTGAGAGTGCTCCTGAACAGTGCTAAAGCACATTCTCTTAGAATTTAGAGTACTAAGCTATACCAGGAGGCAGCACCGTGGCACAGTGACACCACCAGTGCTTACAGGAAGTAGGTTACATTTTCCATTTGCATTTTGCTTTTAGTTAGTGTGTTTTAATCGAGGGCTCAGTAATAAGCAGACCTTGTATTTTTGTACATGCTCTAGTTTAAAGTGACACTAAACTCGAGTTAAATCTTAAAAATACATTCAGGTACCTTAACTATTAACAAAAATGTATCTTGTTTGTGTATCACTCGGCTGTAGATCCTCAAATCATCTCTGCATTGGTGCCGAGACTGTCCTTCCTTCTGGAGGGTGGCTACTTTTGTTCTCTGTGGTACCCTGAAATCAGCTGTACCAGCCTGAAGTGGATAGCTGAACAGCGTTCGGCTCACTTCACTTCGTGTGAGTTATTCACTTAGCTGCCTTCGGCAGCTTTGTGAATAACCCTCTGAATGTGAGATTGTAGTCCATTACGGAAGCGAGCTTGGAGCGGTGACTACTTTACAACATGGAAAACAAAAGTATCCACCCTCCTGAAGGAAGTACAGTGTCGGCACCAATTCAAAGATGATTTGAGGATATGCACCTGACTGATACACAAATAAGATACAATTTTGTTAATAGTTGAGGTACTTAAATGCATTTTTAAGATTTAATTCCTGCGTTTAGTGTCACTTTAAGGTTTAATGTACTGACAGCTGTTTTTTAGGCTAGTTCCTTTACAAGTTGCTGATGAACAAGCCAGTGAATGATTCCTTTAGTGTTATTTCTCCAGAGATTCCAGAATGTGCCTCTTGATGGACACTCTAGCTTGTTCTGTGAAATACTTTAATTACACAGACAACAAGTCTAATCAGTGGAAGAAAGGACATTGGAGAGCTCCCGTCACTATAGGTGTCACTCTGTCCTGTTCCCTGCATTCAGCTTTTGTCCTTAGATTACTTCTTTTATTTTCTTGTCTGCTGCGGTTTACGATGGCCACACAAAATCAGATTATATTTCAGATTTGATCTATCAAATCCACAGAATTTGCCAAGAACTGTGTGTATTGTGACAGCCTATCTACACAATTCTTTTAAATCATATCCAGTCAGACTGATGATTTTGTATTGATCTGAACAATCAAATTTGAAACAGAATTTGTGTGTTACCAGCATTGCATTGATTGTAAACCCCAGAATAAACAGATATTGTCTAAATACAAGAGCCATGTGAATTCTTTCTTGAATCTTGGTGAGATTGTGTATTTCTTCTAGACCTGTGCACTAATACAACGTGAAACTTTACCTGTGCAGGAGCTTCCTGTAATAAAGACCAGTCACTGCCGCTCTTTCCTTGTGCAGGGTCACTGGTCTTGTATCCGCCCCCTTCTGTAGTTTTCTGCAGGTAGTTTTTAGTGGGGTTTGCTGCTGGGTTCCCCCATATCTCTGTCCTCTGCACAGGCTATGTAAAGCATAGCAATGGTGCCACTGCTACTTCCATAGGGTAATATTTGGGTTTTCAAAGGGATTTGGTGCACACAATGTGGATTTATATATTTTGTGGCTATTGAGGAATATATTTATATGCACGTTTTTGTGGCCAGAGTTCTGCTTTAAAGCTCTGAACACCTGTCAGCTTCATGCTTTGTAGTTAGATTTAAGAAACCTGTCACTTTAACCATTCTGGTCACTGTGACCTAGTGGGCATTTAGCAATATAACACTATGGCTTAGAGACACTGGACATCCAGTAATATAGCACAATGACCAAGAGACATTGGGGAGCAATATAGCAGTCCTAGAGACATCGGGCATCCAGCAATATAGTAGTATGGCCTAGAGACACTGGGGATTCAGTCATATAGCACTATGGCCTAGAGACATCGAGCATCCAGTAATATAACAGTTTGGCCTAGGGACATTGGGCATCCAGCAATATAGCAGTTGGCCTAGAGTAACTGGGCATTCAGTAATATAGCACTATGATGTAGAGACACTGGGAATCTAGCAATATAGAACAAAGCCTTAGGGACAATGTACTTCTATTGATTTGTCACTGTGGTCTACAGACACTGAGATTCTACCAATATTCATGGGTTAAAGCTAGTTGTTAGTTGTTAGTCCTGAGTATCTGAGCCATGGTCAAAGGATGGCTATTGTTCTGCTGCTTACAAACACAAAAGCAATGAATGCTGAAGTGAAATTGCCCACGGAAACTAATATTTTAATATCTCTAAAGAAGCAAGATGTTTGCTCTGGGCAATTTTTCTAGTTTTCTTTGTTCCACTTTCTGTAAATCCCAATGTGCCATGTTCTGGCACTTTATCATTTGGAGCCTTTATTCTAAGGGTGGTCCTAATGTCAGTGTGTCATTATTTTAGGACACGGTGTGTAATTTTTTTATGACCCAAAGTGCCAGGGAATCATTTTTCTGTTGTACCGAAAGCAATTTGTAATTGTTCATGATCCCAAGTTTAATATGTCATACTCCCAAATGACAATTTGACATTGTTATATGATCCTGAAATGTTAGTTTATTTTTGTTCTTCAGTAAGGTAATGCAAAGCAGAGAGTATAACCCAAACTGTTAGATTTCTGTAGTGAAAGAGGAATTCTAATTGGTTATTTGCCAATGCATGGACCTAAACTCAAAAAAGTGAAGGATACATTTTAAAAAAAGCAGTGCCCTGAAAAATTTACCTTTTATCTGGAATTCCTCCTGAAAATTAGCAGTGCAGTCCCTGGTATGTGGGGGTGCCTAGGCACTCCTGTGCTTACAGCCTCATAGCTGTATGTCTGCAGTTTGAGATGAAGGGCATTGCTGCATTAGAGTGCTAGTTGTAGAAGATTTCGAGTGAGATTTGGTGATGTCACTACTGTGTTACTCAAGCAAAGCCCTGCCTCTTCCAAGATGGCGACCTCCACACAGGGACACAGAAAACATGGTATGGTAAGGTATGTAAATCAGTAATGGGGAAAAGATCAGCTGCAGGGAGACCATAGGCAATACTAGTCTTTTGCCCTCTACCTGCTTCTTTGTTGTGTAGCTTCAAGGGTTCCTCTTTAAGCATTGAAATAACCCCAAAAATTTAAATTCAGCTTGTTAACTAAAGCTGCAACTTGATAACAGGCGTAGTATGTTGCCATATTAT